AATCGCTGGAATCGCAATTTTATCTCTACTAGCACATTTTACAAGTACGTTTTGCCGGAACACATGAAAGGTAATTAAAAAATGTGTAACTAGCTTGGAACACGTGAAAGGTGAATTGACACATGACTTTCATCACTAAATGGAAATGTCCCTCGTTACAACATGAACAAATTAAAAATCTCTGATCGAAATTTGTTCCGCTGAATTTTAGCAAACAGTTATGCATTCGCAAATGCTTTCAGTTCGCTGTTGATTTTTCGTAACAGCATATTTATTCTATCGAAGTTCATTGAAGTGGTCGGCAGGCCTGCCAAATTGGATTATAGGATATTCCAATCCGTTTTCCGAGAATTTTTTCCGGTCCACCACTCATATGAAAAGTTCCCGACCCAACAAAGACACAAAATATGTTTTCGAAAAATTGTCTTTCAAGAAGGTGATTGCCTCTTCATTAGACGAAAATATCTGTCCTTCGAGCACAATTTTCAGATGAGGCAACAAAAATAAGTCGCTTGGGGCTAGATCTTTTGAGTAAGGCGGATGGTCAAGCAGTTCTAACCATAATTCGCGTATTTTTGTCATGGCAACCGTTGAGGTGTGAGACGGTGTATTATCTTTTTCTTTTTCTGTAAATGTTGCCGTTTTTCCGAAAATTCTGCCTTCAGCTTGTCAAGTGATGATGTGTAGTATGCTTCTGTAATGGTTTTTCCTTTTTGAAGATACAAGGTTGAAATAACTCCATGAGTATCCCAAAAACAGTAGTCATCACTTCTCCAGCCGAAAAAACAGTTTTTGCTTTTTTGAAGGCAGTTGCCCCTTTGCAATCCACTGTTTGGACTGTATTTTTGTTTCGGGCATATAATAGTGTATCTAAGTTCCACCTACAATAATTATTCGACGCAAAAACTCGGATTTATTGCGCCTAAACTGCGCCAACAGAAAGAACATTATTAATTGAACCGATACTGTTTATATAAACAAGAAACAGTACGGGACCAAGGACCGTTCCTTGAGGTACCTCTGTTTTGATATCCCTCTTTTTTAAGGACAAAACACAATCACAACAGGAAAATCGTTTAGGCGCTCTAATGGCGGTGCCTGTGCAAAAGTAGCAATTCACGTAGAAATAGTTGGAAATTAAATCCACTTGAAAAAACGTTCGTTTCTGGTTCGGAACAATGTTCCAAGAGTTTGAGAAACAGCCTTTACAATTTTAGCGACATGATTGTGCCAAGACATATTGGTGTCCATTTTACCCCCTAACGAACTTATCCAAGCAGAAAGCGGAATTGTCTGTGCTGACATTATTATATCTGGCTCGGAGACATTTATCTTTTTGGAGGAAACCGATGCCAGAATTTGATGGCATTGAGGTTAACCTGGTTACTTTCGCCCCATCCTTATTAAGAGATGCAACCTCCTGTTGCCGATGAAGTGCATCCGCATCCGATGTCTTGGAATTCAAATGGAATGACGAGACAAGTGTGTAGCCATCAGCAAAGCTGATTCCTAGATTCCTGGATTCTTAGTTTTCTCCAATAAGTCGTTGATATAGGCTGTTCACGTTAGGAAGAGAATGACGTCATTTTTGGTAATTTAGTATATCCAACATAACAACCTTAAAATTCTCACTGAAATGCGTTCGACAGCAATGAAACTATAACATTTCATTTTGTAAGTTGTTCAACTGATTTCAGACGTTGCGTATATTCAATATGCCTAAAGCATTGTCGAAATAATCTCAACAAATACTAAAAGTAAGTAAGGAAAATAGCAATAAAACATATCAACAGTACAAAAAAATTTGAAAGTTCAAAATAGTGCACATGTTGGCATCGCCGTAACTTGTCATCTTGTAACGTCATTCTCTTCTTAACGTGAACAACCTATATACTATAAAAAGAGGGTTGGAGACAATATAGATCCCTGGGGAACACCAGCGTTGATGGTGAAAGTATTCGAGAAATATCCATCGACGGGTTGCTTTGATGATTGTAAATTTATTTTTCTATTCTGTGATCTAGATTCTAGATAATTCTGACGTAAAGGGTATGTTCGGTCTCGTACAATTTCTCGTGAGCTACAGTATCGGACTATTTGGCAAAATCAAGGAAAATCTTGTCATTTTTAAGACTTATACAAAGCGATCACAGTGTTCTCAATTAGATACAGCAAGTTCGGTATTGGAGATGAAACCATACTGCTTTTTCGTTATAAATTGGTTTTCAGTTAAGAAACTCATCAGCCGTATTTTAGTGCAAGTTCAAATAGCTTCGTGAAGTTATTTATTACCGATAATGGACTATAATTCCCAAGGAAATTACGTTTTCCTGCTTTGTATACCGCAAGCGCCTCTTTCCATCGAGCGGTTCTCCGTTGTATAAACATCTGAGGAAGCTAGCCACTCGCGCCAGCGAAACGTCGGGAAGACGGCCTTCAAACTTGAACTTGTTTTCTTAGAAAAATCGAGAACGAATCATTATTGATGTAGAAGTGAGGTAATATGCTTCAGGTGATCATAATTGAAGAGGTACTTCAGGTAGAGGTTGAGGTAATTTGTTGGAGGTAGTCTCAATTATAGTTACCTGTGTTAGTGAAACATGTCCTGATATATTTTTTAAATAAAGTTTATGGAGATCAAATCGTGGGGTGTAGTTTACTATGGATCTTCATCAAGTAACGGCCGAATTAATCAGAAAAATAACTACCATATTTCAAACACTTCGATAACTTTTTCACCGGTTGAACCTTTGTCAATCAGGACTAAGTAAAAACGGCCTTCATCGAATTCCTAGCACAAAATTTTTAAAATCGCGATCAGTTCCTGAACTGAACACGACGGCGATAACCATTCCCACATTCCCCGATTTCTATTCGTCACTGTAACAAGACTTCAAATTTAATTTCATGACTTTTCAGCCAGTCATAAAACTTCAGTTAGTAAGAATTATCCATTACGAACCGCCAATTCTACAGTACACGTGGACTATTTCGCAGCCGGTTCATTTCTATGTATTGGTTTTTTTGGCCTTCAAGAGTGCCGCCAACTTTAAGAGGGCACAATATCGTTTACTTCGACTATACCTAAGTATATTTGATGCACTGTTGGTAACCTTTGGTGTAGTAAAGAATATTACTGGAGTTCTATCCCAACACCAAAGCTTCGTTATTTTTAACACTTCGACACGTGTTTCAATCACCAAATGATGTTCTTCAAGAGGAAGATTATACAGATATGACAGTTGGGTTATGTTAGGTCAGGTCTGAAGTGAGTGGGTCTATTCGACCCTCCACCGCAACCCGCAAGGGTTTATTGTGGCTCAAGCCTATTCACACTCGGCCAAATGACCCCAGCTTCTTAACGAAATCGATTAGTTGTTATGGTGAGTGGTCTTTCAGGTCAGATGGTAAGATTACGGCTCTACCGAACTCTAAGAACCTGATTCGGTCCCCAGCGGGGCAGGCACAAAGTATATGCTCTGCTGTTTCATCATTTTCCAAATGATGGCATACGACTTATGACTTAAGACTGGGTGCATGAATCCATCCCCAATGTTTGGCGACACTATTCCAATTGTTTCAAAGCGAAGATCATATACATATGATCACGGATTATGGAGACAACTTAACACTTCTTTGGATTTGCTCTTGAAATGCCACAATATCAATGGTTTTTAAGAAACCTTTATAATATATGCCATTGACTTTCTTTGTAGTTTTTCCAATATGTGTTTTCAGATTATTAAAACCAATATGTACAATACTGCATTTTGATCAGTAAGATCTGTAATTCACTTACGAGATCGTTGACAAATAGTTTGAAAAGCAGAGGGCCTGTTACAGATCCCCGGGGAACACCACTTGTTGCTGGGCAGGTGATCGAAAGACGAGTTTGAAGTTGTCAAGGTCTGTTTGATCTCATGTTACACAACTTAACATGAGATCAGTATGTGTCAAATAATTTTGACGAACTTGTTTTGCTGTGTTTATTCTGAGCTGAGGTGCATAAGTTGGGGTTTATATTGCAAGAGGTGGAGGGTGAGGAGGTTCAGAATTGCATGCTTGAAAGGCAATATAAAAATGAAGATAGAGGGTACTGAGCAATTTCCTGCAAGATTTTCGTGAACCAGTTGAAGGATTTATATGTCACTATTGGAAGCACTGAATGTTGTTGATATGAAGGATTAATAGAAGAACGTGATAATAGCGAAGAAAGTGATAATAGCTGAAGTTGTTGTCACGTTTTCTATTTGACAAATAGTTTGAAAAGCAGAGGGCCTGTTACAGATCCCTGGGGAACACCACTTGTTGCTGGGCAGGTGATCGAAAGACAAGTTTGAAGTTGTCAAGGTCTGTTTGATCTCATGTTACACAACGTAACATGAGTTCAGTATGTGTTAGACTCCTTTCTTTTTTTGATTTCATTGAGTCTCACGTGTGTCAAATAATTTTGACAAACTTGTTTTGCTGTGTTTATTCTGAGCTGAGGTGCATAAGTTGGGGTTTATATTGCAAGGGGTGGAGGGTGGGGAGGTTCAGAATTGCATGCTTGAAAGGCAATATAAAAATGAAGATAGAAGGTACTGAGCATTTTCCTGCAAGATTTTCGTGAACCAGTTGAAGGATTTATGTCACTATTGGAAGCACTGAATGTTGTTGATATGAAAGATTGATAGAAGAACGTGATAATAGCGAAGAAAGTGATAATAGCTGAAGTTGTTGTCACGTTTTCTATGTTTCGTCGATTATAATGCAACAGAAACATTTACGGCTGTAAATTTTGGTTAAATCACCGCCACTCTGTGACATCACATACTACCGTCTCACTCGTCATTTAGGTCAACGGATTCTGTCATCTGTGTACTATAAAATAAACAATTTCTGTAGTAAAATCGATCGCCCAATGTGGTGTCGAAGATAGACGAGCTGATTTATTGAGATAGAGGCTCAAAATTCCGACAAAACGCGCAGTACAGACACTAATTCGATGAAACAATTACCTTCAGTCGGTAGAATCAGGTAGTCTCCCCAAAATACACAGGAAACACAGTCATTTTATCACAACTAGGTCATTTAAAAGTAACGTGTGAAGGTGCAGTTTATTGGAAAATTACGACAGGGAACTGTGGAACCGAACTGCCGTAATAGTGGTTCAAAGCGGAGCACAAGGAAAATGATTGTGTCGATTTTCCAACCCCGAAACGTATGACGTAGTGGGGAGACAGGGCGGAGTCAGCACAGGAGCAATAGGGAAGATCGCGCTCACCTTTCCCTAACTATTGTTCCTGTATTACTTTTGAGTTTTTCGTATATCCACTACTCAATACAATTGATGAAGCTTTGCACTTTCAATGGCTTCAGCCAAGTTGCCTGATTATGGGAATACCTACGAGAGTAACTAACTTTTTGACGATTTATTGTCAGAAGTCGATTGGGAATTTGGGTTACAGGGTGGTCCGCGAAATGTTCCAGTTACAATAATGATATTATCTATTCACCATTTGCGATATACAGTAAGTCAAAAATGAGTAATTACATTAAAAAAACGCAGGTTTCACAGCACTTAATGTACTTGATGAGATGAAAAAATTGAATTGAAATTAATATTTGCATATACTCAGATTTACACATTCGCCAACTTACATATACACATATATACATATATGCTTGCCGAAGTCATAAATCATTATATAAAATAAGGTAAAATCAGAAGTCATAACACTGGAACTGAAGCAAAAAATATAAGTAAAACATTACAGCGATAAAAAATGGAATTATTTTTCTGTAAAAGTATCCTATAAAATAATAGTTTTCATAACTGAAATACAAATCATGAAATTATTAAACAACAACAAAAATTAATTGGCGCTCCGGGGCGACTTCATTGATTCCAGTGGCGCATTTGCTTTTTCAGCTGCAGTAGAACCCGGAAAAAACTGCAGCACCACATCATCTGAAGATCTTGATCTGTCAATGTCCTCTCTCATAAAACAAAATGTAGGGTGTCTCCAGAGGCTACAATAAATTCAATATATCGCCAGAACACTTAGTGACATAACTATCGTCAAACTTAAATCAGTCCGTTTCGTCTTTGGCCAAGGCGTAATAATAACCAGATTCAACGCCAGAACCACAGTGAACAATGACTGCATGAAGATTATCACAGTGGTCTGCTAGATTAAAGTGTTCATCTATTTCGAACCTTCGAAAGAGTTTGGTTCTTCCGTCAGAGGTTGAATCTTGTTTGAAGATCATCAGTGTTATTATTAGATTGACTGGTGCCTCAGCTATACTTGTTTCCTTATAACAGTCAGTTAGTTTGGTGCATGTTTGGCAATACAGTCGATCATCACCCGGTCGGTCGGTAGCCAAGCGGTTCGGCGTGGGTGATTTGTTCACTCACTCAAATTGACTGCCGTGTTGGTCGGTGGTTCAAGCTCTTGTCTGAACGATCGATCTTCACTTGCTATCGTCCAACCCGCGTTAGGAATTACACGTTAAAAGGTAAGTCCTCGTTAATCCTTAGCTCGCACAAGTTTCGACTTCTGAGGGTTGTCGTTCGTAGGGGTGCGACAGCTGCTTAACGGAAAAACAGATTTTAAACAGATTTAAAAATTCCATTTTCAGATGATTTAACAATAAGCTATGCACGGACTGGTTATTAGTCATATTAGGTGAAGTTCCAGAAATTCACATACGTTTTCGCTACCTCTTGAACATTTACCACAAAGTAAACAAGTGAGAATTTTTCCAGAAAAAGATTTACAAACACAAGACGAGATAGAATGTACGGAATCATTCAATCCAGAGCGGTCAGAAGTATTGATTCTATTATTTTTCTCACGAAGAGTATTCAACAAGAGCCCCAAGAATTCGGAACAATCCTCTTGTTGTCCTAACGAGTATCCAGAAAATCGGTTGGAGGAAAAGATAATGCATTCTTACGAAACTGCAGCTACATGAACAGGTGTTTTAGTTTGTTGAATAAGTAGGAAACATTCTCATTCATCATTAAAACCTCGTACTTGAAATTCTTCGTCTTGAACAACACTTGTAAAATACTATTCATGTAGCAAGTGTTTCCTAAATTATCTAATCCAATTTTATTCTCAAGTTTTTTGTTTTAATGTTTTTATAGCAACATATCTTGATGAATATTTATTTTAATGTGTCATAGTATACTATACGGTATCCTTGAGCGATTTTCAGCCAATTTTTCACATATAGGTAAGTGGCACAAATACAACAAGTCATGAGTGACAACAATCTCACCAAAATCAAATAAGATTTGAATTGATGAACAATCTCCAAACCTGGAAAGTATTACATATAATATGGTGAAATAATCATTTACCGAATGAAAAAACGGAATGAATTCCCACTAAGTTTTTGAAAATCTCAAATCTACGTTCGAAGCCAAACTCAAATAAACAAAAAATATATATGAAGAATTGTGCTACAAAAATATTCGTACTCAGGAATCGATTGAAAGCTCAACATTTAATCGAATAATACAAACAGAGAAATGAAATATAAACAACATATCGAAGTCATACAATTAATAGCAGAGCCTCATAACAGAAATCTAAGCGAATTAACGTTTCATGGTTGTGCTGCAATAAAAAAAATATACACGAATCCACAACGTAATAGTTTTCCTTTGAATAGTGAAACTTCAAAAGGCTCTCATCAAAACTCACATAATTAAATTTAATTCAGATTTAACTTTTCTACAACAGCAAACTGCAGATATTAACAACTGCATAGTTCTCGTGTGGTTTTGTCAAAGTTTTGGTTTTATTTGTTTATGTTTCCCGGAAATGCATTCTTTGATAAAGTAGTCTCAATAAATACTCCGTAGTCTGTATAGCTGTCCAAAAAAGAACTGATACTAGTATTTGCTGTACATTCACCAACATTTACTTATATCCAAGAACCGGAGTTACTTATTGACTCCACATATTTCAATGTTTCAAAATATCAATTGAGAATATGCTAAAGTTATAGTCTACTGAAATATGACTTTACCGAGGTAGTAAATCCAACCATACATAGGAAATATGGTTGTAAATTAGAGCTCAAGTACAACGCATTCATGATTCAACACCAGATAGCGCTGTTTCGACCCGCCATAGGTCTCATCAGTGGTTATAGGCTGGTTCACATTGCTGGTTCACCTGTCCTCACATATCCCCTTGTGAGCCTCGTTTATTTTTTATATTCTAGTTCTTTGTCGATCCCGTAGATGGCATCTTCTTTAGGTGGTGCCATCGCCCTCATTTACATAGGAAATATGCTTCAAATTTCATTTCCGTCAGTATTAACTAAGGCTAATCAAATAGGTCCTATGACTCAGAAACTAATTGGTTCGCACTTTTGCTGGGTTGTTTTGATCCAGAGCAATCCAGCAATCATGAGTGAGCATTCGCATGATAACACTCTGCCACTATCATCTCCACCATCACGGAGATGGTAGTGGCGGAGCTCGTCATTAAATTACTGCTGAGACTTCGAGATATAAGCTTCTTCCTCGCAGTCAACGCACATACAAATGATGATACAGCAGATTTTGTTCTCTTTCATCGTGACTCTAGCCGTGAGAGCATATGTTCTAATAAGTTCTGAGTCAAAGGCGAATTTAAATTTAATTTTCTAGGGTGGTAATTTCTGGATTTCGAGGAGGGTAATTTTCATGGGAGATAATTTATATATGGATGCATGCGCATGCATATATTACAATAATCATTTGGAATGTATTGAATTTCGATGTCGCGATCCGCCTCTGAGTATTGTTGCATGGTAGTCATATTGATTGTTATTAAGAGTATCGTGGCCTCGCTAGCGCTCACCAGGATGTTTTTTCTACAGTTAAATAAAGCGGCTACTAGTACGGAAATTGTATTCATTAGTTAATGTTCAAATGATCATTGAAATTAAAAAATCTTATACATTAATGGAAGATTAATAAAAACGTTATTTCAATATGGTAACCAATTCTTATTTTCTAAAGAGAAACTATATAGATCCCTTGAAGGTTAAACTGATCAAACCTATGGCGTTGAATGTATCCAACATAAACACACTCCTCCCTCAAAACTTTTGACGAGGATAGTTAGTACATCTAATGATGACGCTAACTGAGTGGGTGAAACACGAGTTTCGAAAAGTATTGCAGTTCTGGTGTAAGGAAGCAAAATTTGTATTGAGAGTCCTTTGCAGTTTCGATTGGACTACTACGACCTCTGTCGGAAATATTGGAACTAATGAGTGATGCGAATGAATGTTGTACGTCTAACTTCAGCATGCATCTTTCTTAAAAAATGATTTTCGAGTCAAATATGAAATTAATTGTTTCGTGTGGATTTGTTCTTCCAGTTTGTATCATAAGACACTTCTTTGTAGAAATATGCAACTTTGTAGAGAACTTACATTTCTTTATTTTTTTTTAGTTAGAGAATTTTTCATACATTGTATTATATATTGAAATGAAATAAAACGTTTCCAGTTCACAACCACACATATATTCCTAATTCAAAAACCAAACAACAACTGAACTCCATTTCCCACGAGTCGGTAGCTCATGTAAAAAAATGTACAATAAAAACCTTTGTTTTTATACATGATCCGATATCTAACACATTGAGATGGAAGGGTAGGAATTCAGTGTTTTAATCAAAAATTCAAAAATGTTCACAAAATCTAAGACTGCTGTCTGCAGACTGTTTTCTGAAAATACTTCGACGTTAGTGGTAGGATGACATTGTCGATGTCGATGTCAACATAATATGTTGGCAACCTTGTTTTGTAGATGATTGGTAGTTTTTTGAAAGTTGTTAAAGAGATTCTGAAAGTAGATGGTAGAAAATAGAAAATTAATCTGAATAATACAAAATAATTCAAAATGGTTACACCAACTGTGTTCGAAGCCGCACATAAAGGCGATTTGGAATTTGTAATGTCTAAAGTAGATGAAAACCCTGAACTTATTCAACAAACTGATTCAGTGAGTATTAGAAACACTCAATAAATGTTCACCTAATTACCTTATAGAAATCGTTTTCAGACAAAACGCATGCTCATACATTGGGCCGTCCTCAGTGGCAATTTGAAACTTGTCACTTATCTCATCGAATTGAAATCTCCTATCAATCCAGTTGATGATACAAATACAAACCCTTTGATTCTTGCTAGCTCTGCAGGCCATACTGAAATTGTGAAGTTCATCCTCGAAAGATGTGATGACGTGAATCATAAAAATGCACAAGGACATTCGTCACTACAATATGCAGCTTCGAAGGGCTGGTTGGAGGTATTCTTTGTGCAATCCTTTAAAAATTCACCTTGTCCAAATGAGCCATTGTCAAAATGAAAATAATATTGATGAGAAATGAAGTATGACAAACATTGAGAAATTTCATTGGGAAGTATGTACTTCGCTTTATATTATTGAGGGAAAAATGGGATGTTTCACATTTCACTTATAGTACAAATAAAGCTGCCACGAAAATGACACAATTGTGGTTGAAAATGTGTGAAATGTTACATTTGTCATGGTTTTATTAATAATAAATTCATCATTCATGCCTCTGTATCAAAGTTGAATGTCTGAAATGGTGTTAACAGATTCAAAATCTATAGAAGAACAAATAAAATCACCAACAAAATATCAATATTTCCCATAAAATGATAAAAAATGGTAAGATTTAAAAATCAGTGAAAAATTCTTTCAACATATAACACTTTCCCAATAGAATATTTTTCTTTCACAAGACCAAAAGTCTTGTGGATTCAGAAAAGTTGATAAACATCATTTGAAGTTACTCTCTGAGGAATTACCAGTTGAGACTGTTCAGTCTTGGTGTTTTCGGTGTTGGGACCACATTCATTTATATATTAGAATCAACATAGGTCCCAATATTGATCATTGGGGTACACCTACAACATCAGAAACTGGATCACAATCAAAACAATCACATTTGACTTGTTGCTGCCTATTTCAAAGGAAGGATTCAAACCTTATAATAGCTTCTGTGGTTAATACAAAAGGATTTCGTGATTAACACTGTTGAACACCTTGGAAAAGTCAATAAATAATTCTTAAGCTACTTTTCTATCCAGTGCTCCAGTAATCTCGTCAACGAACTCACACAATGTTTTGCCGATATTTCAAAATATCATGCTGTCCATGTGAGAATTGTCTGATATCCCTAAGAAATTTCAATAGTACCTTATTTACAATTGATTTAAATATCTTAGGAAAGCTCAAACACAAAGTAATAGCTCTGTGATTATATATTTGTTCAGCATTTCCTTTTTTGTGCAGAAAAATAACAAGTACTAGTTTTAGTTTCTATGAAAAAACTTTCTGGGAGAATTACCTATTGATTGATTATATGAGTAATGATAATACTCCCATTAATTATCTTCTTTATCGCAGCCTGAAGATTTTGAATTCAAATTTTTTGTTACCTCCGCAATATCATATAAGTTAACTGGGTGTAAAAACAAATACAACTATTTTGATAACTAGCCTTAACGATTATGTAATGATTAATGACTTTTTTTAAGATTTGCCAATTATTACTGGATAAAGGAGCTGATATAAATATTGCCGATGAACGTGGTAGTACTCCTTTACATCGAGCTGCTTCGAAAGGTAACCTCGCAATAGTTAAGCTATTGCTCGAACACAAAGACCAGCTGAGAATCAACAACAAGGATATTTATGGTAACACCGCCCTGCATTTGGCCTGCGAAGAAGACAGACAGGACATTGCTGTACTATTGGCAGAGAACGGAGCAGATATCGAGTCCAAAAATAGAGATAATCAAACTTGCTTGGATTTTTGTACACTAAAGTTGTTCAAATTACTTAAAAAGTTTGTTTCATAAAGATTTAAAAGAATAAAGGAGTGATTTTAATTCTCTGAAAATATATTTACTGGTTTATCAAAAGTAACTTTTTATAGTATTATTGATTCAACACAACAAGTTTCCCAAGCTAACAAATAACTTGAAGATGAAAAATTGTTCTGAAAGTGAAATAAAAAGTTTCAATGACTTTTAAGGTTTAACAACAATGTTTCTTGAGATTTTTTTCGTTTCCTATTGAGCTAAAATTTGCACATAAGTGTGGTTCTCGTGACAATACACGATTATTATTATTACCTAAATGCCGCCATTTTCAATTCAAAATGGCGGTAGTTACAAAACGGCGATGTATGATTTCCACAGTATGAGGACCGACTAACAATAAATGAACAGAAAAACAAATTAATTTTTGGAACATAACTGGAACATCCACTGTTCCAGAATTGTTTCTACGTGGACAGGATATCAAAAAACTGAGTCTATGGATGACGCGAATTTTAGATGAATCTTGACGTATAATCAGTATTCACAGAATATAACTAAAAATTATATCAACTTATAACATCATAAGTAGACACAAATATTAGTTTTTATTTTAGTTTCACATTTTGAGGCATACAAAGTACTGGTATAACGATTATGTTTATTATTCATGTGAAATTCTAAATAATAATGAAAGGGCTGCTATTTTGAATCATATATCTGTTGGGTCTAGAAAACTAGCACTTATGTCAAAATTCATAAATCTTCTGTCTCATATTGTAGCCAAAGGTATCTAAAAGTTTCACATTGAATACCTAATTTATCGATAAACTATAGATACTGGAAAGTAAGGAACTTTAAAAATAATTATGCTTATAAAGCAAATAGTTTTTTAACTACTAAATACGTTGCGATTTTCAATCCTCAGTAATATCCAATGTTTTGTCAAAGGATGAATTTGATTTTTTTACGTGAAACGTACGTCAAACGAAGATCTAGAGCTCAGCAGATTTGCTCAGGGAGCAATGTGAATGTCAAAAATTATTTCTAATTCAAGAAAAATGAATGACGTATTATTTTTCTTTTTAAAATGCCACTGCCGTTACTTGATGAAGATCCATAGTAATTTATTTCAAAAACTACACCTCATGATTTGATCTCCACAAACTTCATTTGAAAAATATATCACAGTATGTTTCGCTAGCACAGTAGCTTTGTCAAGTGATTTGAATCCTTCATCCTTGAATCATTCAAATCACTTGACAAAGCTACTGTGCTAGCGAAACATGTGATATATTTTTCAAATAAAGTTTGTGGAAATCAAACCGTGAGGTGTACTTTTTGAAAAAATCTCAAATCATTTCGACGCCATTGATATTTTGGTCGCAATAAAAACCAATAGCAATTACTGGATGTATCAGGTAATTTTGTAACAAACAAATCAGAATTTGTTATCTTTAATTATAACTACCTCCTCGTGGTCAATAATTGTTCCATCCGCTAACTTGAGTTGGAAATTAAAGTTTTCATTAACACGAACTGGATGAACTTTTGGCACTCATCAGGAATCCACGAGAAAGTGTGCCCAATTAAGAATTGGAAACGTTAAAAGAGGAATGTCTTAACATTTCTATACGGTGAAATCGATTATATTTACAAAGACAAACAATTTCAAATCTCTAATAGCTTGATGATACATTTTTTAACGAAACAAAATTTAACGAGAACTTGACCCTAGAATACATTAGATACAAATAATTTGATATTTTAGTTTATATTGTTCAACTGTTTTGAACACTTCAGATGTTTGTTTGTATCTGTTTTCGATTTTTAATGTTATTTGTTATTTCAACTAACCCACTCTACATCATGTAAATGATATCTACCTAGAGGCAGAATACATGCGACCGACTGTTGTCTACAGTCGCTTTTTATCTTAGTAAAACATTCTTTGAAATTGTTACGCCACTGGTTGCAAAAATTCTATGTTCTATGGTCTATTTATTGACATGTTGACCTTGAAGTGTTTTGATTCACTATATTGGGAAAATTAATTCCTCATGCTCCCAGACAACAATGGCCAATGAAATCATCGATGGCAATGACATTTCCAGAAATTACTGATGTTTTTTATTTCCTTTAGTGTAAACCAGTTCTTGCGATTAGTAGAGGTATCGTGTAAAACAATCCTGACTTCATTGTTACTTTGACGTTTGTTGGTAAACAATAATCAGCTGTTTGCGTTGGGGACAAAACAGTAACTCAAAATTTCAGTGACAAACTTCCATCAACCTTCGCTAACTCTATAAACAGTTGTAAATAGTAAGTCAACAGTAATTGAAAGTAACTATTAACTATTCCTACGTAAGCATTTATAACAAAGAGAACCAACCCGGAAGTGTTGCATATCTGCCGAGAATTGCAGCAATACTTACATTGCTGGACTGGTGGCCGAAAATAGATTTTTGGCCTAAATTCCCAAACATTTGCAACGCTTTCAGCTCGTTGATTCCGATATCAAAATTATCAAATTATCACGTTGAAAATGAGTGATGAGAGAACACCAAGTGAACCTAAAGATACAGGAAATTTACCCAGAAACAGGACAACTAGTGAGTGTTCATTTACCAGCGACGATGGAGCAGTTGGATTTACTGGAAATAGGTAAAATACATTCTTTACTTCTCTAATGATGATCACTCAAAATATCGTTATATTACCTATCCTATGGCATTCTTCGATTTACTTGTAAATGGTTCGAGAATTATCTCAGAAGTCAGTTTGTGAAAACCTCTTCATATTCATAAGAAGTCCAAATTGAAAACAGTAAGTGCCACAAGGGTCATTTTTGGTATCCATATTTTTCTTGTTGTATATGAATGATTCAACATATATTAATATAAAAGGGAACATTTTTCTACTACTATACTTCATAAGGCATAATTTTAGGCAGCGAACGACTTCCCAACAATTCATGGTTACCAGTGGATTGACTGCTGCGTCACCCCCAAAATTTGTTTCGTTGGAAGAAATTATGCAGGCGGCTAATGGGATGAGAGATATGGCTTTGGTGCATCAAATTGTTGTCGACAAAGACTTCAAGTTGAAGAAGGCTGAACCAGATCCAAACAGTGTGCAAAAAGTTGTTAAGGACACGATGCATAAAGCTTTTTGGGACATTTTGAGACAGCAGTTGGCTGAAGATCCTCCCAATTATACGCTGGTAATTTATTTGTTTTTTTTCATTGTTTTTTCACAGATAACTCCAAATTAGTATACAAGATTCTACAAATTTGAGATTACCGTCACTACTCTGAATCTTATCTAATTTGTTTACGATTTAATTATAAATTTGAACAGACACAATAGTAAGTTGTGATGAAGTGCAAATAGTTGGATCCAAAAAACAAGCATGTTTCCCGATCACAAGAAATGACATGCATTTCATGAACCAAGTTGCTGTCTTCAGGAGGTGGTAGTTCTCCAAAACGAATTGAGCAACAATAGATTTTTTGTGTTTTTGAAATCGAATATTTGTGGTGTTCTTTGAAACGAGTTCTAGTTGCTTGCTTAGTCTGGCCGATATATTTTTGTAAAAAAAGCTTTTAGGACAGTATTCCGTATAGATTAGAATATTGTGATTGACACAATCGAATGCCTTGCTGCGATCTCAAAAAATTAACAAAGCAATTCGTAACACTTTTTGAATTAGATTTTCTGTTGATTAAACTGAACTGACGGCTATAAAGAAAACTAAAGTTATGAAAATAAGTCATTAGGCGCTTTTTAATCAGAATTTCCTGAAATGGGGATTTCCTGGTAAATTCTGATCTTCTTTTTTATAAATTGGCACAACTTTGCTTACTTCAAGAAACCCCTTCAGTAAAACAACAGCAAATTATATTACCATTTAGAGGTATTCTTGAGCTTGTATATAGGAATTGCCGGCTTTTTCATATGTAATCGATAGTGAGAAGAAGGGCGAAGGTTTGAATAACAATTTAGTGTAACTTTATTGTGGGATGGCAGAGAAATAATGATATTCTTGGCTGTATTTGAGAAAATTTTGTTGAAATCATTAGGGCTGACATTATTTGAGGTTATATTGAGGTCACTAGCTGAATTTCATTCATAGTTCACCAATTTCCACATATCTTTATTTTTTATTGTTTGAGTTTTGTATGAAATAATCATAAGATTCTTTTTTGGCCTTGTGTACTGCCGACTCATCAATTTGTTTAAATATGCACAATGTTTGCAAGGTACTTGTCATTGAATATAATTTATCATTGAATAGGTTGACAGGTCTCATNGTTTGCAAGGTACTTGCAGGTCTCATTTTTTATTTTTGTTATTATCAAGGGGTTGTGAGAGAGCTATATGTATTGTTCAAGAATTTCGCTAGCTACTTCAATGAGATTATATTTTTGTGAAAACTATGCCAATCAACAGACTCTAGAGAAATTTTCATATCCCCCAGACTCATAGTAAAAGTGAAGCGCCCATTAATCTGTGAGATACCAGGATCTAATATTCCAGTACAACATTAATTTTCGTTAAAGTTGGTAATAATGTTATCAATATAACCGAAACACTTGGAGCTCCCGCTTGTGTGGCTAATTATTTCATGTTTCAGTCCCAAAGATTCTATTATATTTATCTGAGATGTACAAATATGACCATTTTTATTCATGTCAATGTTGAAATCTCTAGTTAGCATTATTTTTTATATTTTTTCGATGATAGTGTTAAAAGCTCTTGAATTTTATTAAAGAGGAAATCGTTTTTTCTTGATAAAGAATATCCTCAGGTTGTAATAAGAGCAGTGTTTGTATTTGTTATTTCAATACCACAGAATTCAGCATGTTGTTTATAACAAAAATAATTCAAAAGGAGAGGTTTACTAGTCAAGTTATTAAGGACGTGAATGGAAATACCTCCATGTTGAAGCGTTTGTCTATAAAATAACTCGTGAGATTATAATCCTTGCAGATTTTAGATTTTCCACGTTGGGCCAGTTCGCCAACAGTCATATTTGTGTACTTATTTACGTCTGCTGAGTTTTAATGTTGTGTTTGTTATTATGAACAATTTCGCTTGGAAAATCGCGCCAATTTATTCAAGGTTACCGGGTGGGTTTCAAGTTCATTGAATCAATTAGTCAGTTTCATTTTTATAAGGATGAACTCATATTCAATCTATCAATGATGAACATATATTAGTTTATGAAGTTTTCTATAAAGTTAGGACTCAATACAAGAACCAATAACAGTGAGGATTTTTTATTTATCAATTTTATCTGCAATATTCAGTTCTGCAATGGTTATTGAAGTCTTCAAAAAGAATTGAAGTCTGACCATTCTTTCAGCAATATTAAATTATGAAATCAGTCAGTCATTCAATTCAACCTCTTCCAATATTCAGATTTGTTATCCCAGCAGAATTTTCATACATCTCAGCAGGAATAAAATGATCTTTTTATATTACATCATCACGACCTTTAGAGAGTGGTATACCATGGTCCTTACAGCAGAATCCGACATTTTTACTCCAAAAAGAAACACTAATACTTGCTTAGGAGAAGTTGTATTGAATCAGATTTTTTTAATATAGTTTTCTTGCCATCTGTTTGTTCAGAAAATTTTTGTAGGGCGACATTTGCCGCACGAATTGAGACATTTCCTTAGAATTTTCACCACATATATGAGCCAAAGTGATCGGAATATAGAAAAGTTGTTTTTCCGGTAAATTACCTTTTGGTGGCCGAAAATAGATTTTTGGCCTAAATTCCTTAACCAAAACTCTGAAACCACTACGAATATCTAAATTTTACAGAAAATACATTTTGTTTGCCTCAAAGAGTTATACAAAAAGAATGTAAAGTTTCCATAATTATAATAGTTTTGGAATTATATTGAGACATAGTGTATTCTATTCCAGTTAAACTAATACATTTATACTAGTATTAGTGAAGTATGAAAATCATGTAAGAAGAAACCTGTTACAGTTTAGTAAATAGTATGTGACGAATTCCACAGTATTAATGTATCTAACTGATATTGTTCAAAAAATGAGGTAACAATTGAGAAGTTCAAAAGCTGTAAAAGAACCATATCGTATATTTTTCAAGTTCCATTAGTCATTACTTCAACAGATTCTCTACTAACACATTATTATCACATTCACAGGCATTTACTCTTTTGGAAGAGATAAAACAAGGATTATTTTCATTGCTCCTACCACAGCATACAAGAATACGACAACAAATTTCGGAAATTTTAGATTCTGCTCTCATCAAACAGCAAGCAGAACAAGGGACTTTGGATTTCAAGGTTGGTACCTACTATCTAATAATTACATTACTTTTATTAGCAGTAAAAAATGTTAAGCTCTTAATTCGCCCAGCAGTTTTTACCCTCTTTTCGCTGAAACTTTGTAACATGCTGTTGTAAATTATCCCCTGAAACAAAATAACGCCGGCCGCCGCTGGTGTGTGACTTGGCCAAGGTCGCGCTCAACTCTACTTGTGTTTCTCCATCGTTCTAGATGTGGCGTCGTTTCGAGAATATTCCTCTCGGCTTGAAACTTCCATTGGCATATATGAGCACCACCAACAGACAGATGGGGTTAGTCTAGTTGAAAGTGCGGTACGAAGTGAGCTAACAAGGCGATAGACATTCGAGTATTAGTCTGAAATACAGTTAAAGTGTTTGTATTGTCGGTGTAGCAGTGAAATAAAGTTCGGTTCAATTGTACATTGTAGTCAATTATTGTCAAACTGACGGGAAAAACGTAAAAATACTCATGCCCTCACAAGCCATTGGTCTAGTATAAATCGATGATAATTTTGGTGGTTCAGATCGCTGACAAAAAATCCCCAACAACCTTAATTTCTTTTTATCGGTTCCATCTACGAACTTCTGAATTTTCAATATGTCATTCTGGGATACGTGGCTCATCAATTTTTTTTTTAGAATTACGCACAATATGTAGTATCTGTAATGTCGAAGTTATGTGCACCCATTCGAGATGACAAAATTACAGAATTGACAGAAACTTCAGACGTTATCGACACCTTCAAAGGCATTCTCGAGGTATTCATTTATCTTAGTCTGTTTTTCATAATGAACATTCCAAATGTTTTTTGTTATTCAGACTTTAGACTTGATGCTGTTGGATATGGCGAACTTTACACTGCAAATGGCGAGACCGGATATAATAACGCACAGTGTGGATTGGGAAAGGAAAAAGTTTGCAGATTTTTTAGCTCTTCAACCTGGTAAGGATTTCCTTAATCAAGAACTTGATTAAAGTTTCCTGCACAAAATTTACTTACTATATCTCATCCCTAGATCATCCTCTACATACCACTATAACGCTCAATTGTGCCTACAAATAACTAATATTTGTATACCTACAATATTCTACCTTTAGTTTTTGTGCTTATTCAACTGCCTAATGAAAAAAGTTCTCATTTTACTTTTTATAGCTGTGATATACAGCCTATTACTTTTTCCCAGCACTTACATAAGTATGGTGTATAAACGCTCCCATTGATTTATACTATGACAACTTTCCTCAAGTAAAAGTTTGTTGTATGATGTGTTAGATAAATTCAATGCAATAAGTACTTCAGAAGTCTACATATTTTTTATAAGCTGATTCCATTTCCAGTAATTGTACTGCTATTTTGTGTTTTTTCTTATGATGAAGACGTTTTCTGCTTCCCTGTACTGAAATCGATTAACCAAAATATGAAATATCTTTTCTGTACTGGACTGTAGATCCATAGGTCGGTGGATCATATCCGGCTCGAAGGACCAACACTTACATTCGATAAAGACTAATTATCATATGTGGGCCGGATGTTGAACATTTGAAGAAAAGTTTAAAATCTGTTTTTCCGTTATTCAGCTGTCGTCCCCATACGAACGACAACTCTCAGAAGTTGAGAAACTTGTGCGAGCTAAGGACTAACGAGGTCTTACCTTTTAACGTGTGATTCCTAACACGGTATTTCGGAAAATTAATAGTGGACGACACCAACCTCATTTTTGTTTCCGGAAAATTCTCCTTGCCTTCTGTCTTATTATTCAGGTGCCCTCTCAATAAACAGTGTACGTTGAGTAGCTCTGTAATTCTTCTGTAATTGTTGAACGGATTTATATCAGTAAGATATTTTTCTTTAGTTCCAAATTACTACAAAGGGCCAACTTGGAGCCATTTTTTTATTTTCTTACCAGCCTTGTGGCCTCAATTATTGTTAGAAGATATTAATATTGTCTTTTGTATTCAAGTGAATGCAAAATTAGAATTTGGATATATGATGGAATTAGACGATACTTGATGGAAATCCATAACTAACGTATTCAAAAAACACTTTATTGTGGGATTTTCATTAAATAGTTTTACAAAAACGCAACACGTGTATTACCATTGTATGGCGAAACACTTGTTGCGTTTTTGTAAAATTGTTTAGTGAAAATCTCAAACTGTTTTTTGACTACGTAAGAATTTGAATGTACAATTTTAAGTGGACTATATGAATTTACATAAAAAGACCAAAAATTACATAATAAAATGCTTAAAGTACTGTGTTACTCTGCCGATATATGTAACAAAATAAGACATTTGTTTGTAGGGTACAATTTGAATTGTGCAATTTGTTAAAAATCTCTAGAACATTCTGCAGTGTAATTTACACTTGCTTGGAAGTAATTTAGAATATTTCGATCTCTCTAGTTGAGTACTGCCTTGGTCACAGTTGAAAATTTTCAGATGGTTTGGAACAAACTCGTAGATGGTTGACGAAGTATATAAAAAATGATCAGCCTGTACCGCAAGACGTTGAGTACGAGAAGTTTATCAGGATAGTATTGAAAAAATCATTTTTGCAAGCGTGCGTAGATTTATTGGATTGGCCGGAAAATGAAGAATATCCCGAGGTGAGCGATTTAAAAATTACTAGATGTAATGAATCAGCTAGTTTTGAATACAAAATGACAAAAACATCATTTATTTCTGAGATTTGTGGAACATAAAATCGATATTGAATTATTTTAACAAAGACAAAAATTATTTTAAAACGCATGTGTATTCTTCTGTCATCTCTACTGTATTTGTATTCAAAACCCTCTCAGGTTACTGTAGCTATTGATTTTTAGACTTTCATGTTGGATGTCGAAAGATTAATTGATTTACAAGTGAGGACTTTCCGGTTAATTGGCACAGCAACAATACTACTGGTGACAGTCAGCAGTCTGGGAGCTGATTTGCAAACGTTAGCACCTTTCAAACAATCTTTGAAGGACCATATTTCTATACTATTGCAAAACGTGAAAAATGATAAGTAAGTTGCCGATTATCAACACTTTAGTGAAACTACTAAACTGATGCACTACTCTGTTCAAAAAATTAGGTGCAGTTTAATTTCTCTCAAAAAAATTCTGTTTTGTTCCCTTCATAGCAGTCTCAAATACACTTGAGCCACCGGTTTTTAAAATAAAACCTAAAAGCAGTTCTGATATTCACTTTTTGGTATGTCGAAGCAAAACGAGATGATTTCATGGGTCTCTTCAATCTTGGGAACAGGAAAAATTCCCGGGGGCAAAATCTGGTGAATACGGTGGCTGGAGCTTTTGTTTTTTTTGTGAATTTTGTTGTTTGGTATATGATGAATGTTTCAATACATAAATTAGACTTGATTCTCGCTGAGTCAAAATCCTTTGATTCTCTTGTATCAAGTCATAGTAATCAATTTTTCCAATCTTTCAAGGGACCTGATTGACGTTTTACCAAACGTTGCTGAACAGGTGATAAACGATGTAAAAGAAGCTCAAAGAAAATATGAATTGCCAGAAATGTTTCAAGCAGTCGAGGCAACTTTGAAACAGCAAATATTGGACACGGGATTAGCTGATCATAAAGTGAGGGGTATTGTTAGTAAGTAACGACAGTTACCAGTTGATGCATTTTCTAATGTGCTTCGTTTTCAGAGCAAAGGGTGAAGGATTTCTTTCAGGATATTATCGAGTCTTCAACTGCTGCACCCCAGAAAGTGCCTTCCGGTTTGACTGCTTTACAGAAGGAACTCACGGAAGTTGCGGGTCAATTTCTGAGAATCGTTTCTCACAACAGTACCGTATTTTGCATTTATTATTACGACATTGTTGCTTCGGTGCTGCCTAAGCCAAGTCAAGCTTCAAATTAACTTCAGTCAGTTGATTTTTTATATATTCATTGATTAACAATTATCACAATAATGTAAATAATGTTTCCCGTATTTATTCAGACATGCTTTTGGTTGTAATTAGTAATCTCCGTACTTTTATAAACTGTGTAACAGAACCAATATGACTATTATATCTAGCTAATTATATTTTTATCACAGGCAGATATTTGATTTTCTTTCTTTATTGTCAGTTTTTACTTTTAATGAAGGTGGTTGACAATGTTTCGTGGTGTATTTTATCAGTTCGGACTTCCATTGTCTAATATAATATAAATTGATTTTTATTTTTTTCTAGTGAACTGGGGGTAACTTCATCCTAACCAAACCCGAAGAGTTTTGCTTTGAAAGCAACATACTCATCTGAACAAATATACACAATTCATCTATACGAGGTCTGTTCAGAAAATAGGGTGAATTTTCATTTATCTCAAAAAACATTCATTTATTCATCAATTTCTATTTTTTCCTCTTCAAAGTAGGCATGATGATGGTGTTGTTTTTGGCCAAAAAAATCACTAGAAGTGATGCAAAAGATGTGAATTGTTTTTCCACAATACCAGACGTTTTCTTCCATTTTTTAAACAAAACTCAAATCCATTTTTTTCGATAGCAGAAAATCGACGAACACGCAAAACACTTCTCAAACTTTTATGCTTCTCACCAACAAGTATAAAAAAATCGTTAATCGAATGTACATAGCCCAGGAAATTTGATCATTCATCTTACTTTTTGAACAAACCTCGTAAATTGACTTCCTCTCCCATCAGAGGAACGTTTCATTGGCAGTGGAGTCCCACAAGGTTCCATTTTGGGACCGGTGTTGTTTCTCATTTATGTTAATGACTTAGTCCATGTTGACATAAGTGGTGAATTCACATGTTTTGCTGACGACACCACCATCCCCTGGCATAGCAATTCCGCCTCAAATTTACTTGATCAAATCATTGTTGACATAAGAAAAAGAGTGGTGTGATTCCAATCTTTCATCATTCAACATCGACAAAACATCACGATTAGATGTTACATAGGGGAAGGACACTTGGAAAATGTAAAAATTGAAAATTTGGAGGAAAATAAATTTTTAGGGATCTTCATTGATGATAATCTAAAATGTGATTCCCTTGTCGACTACTTATGTAAAGACTAGTAGCAGGATGTCATGCAGTGAGAGTTGTTGCAAGAGAATTAGACAGTATTATTACAAGATCAGTTTATTTTGCACAAATTGAGTCATATTTACGTTATGGAATTTTGTTTCAATATGGTATTCTCTCTACAAAAAAGATCCATTAGATATTTATGTAAGGCTAGCTACAGGGATTCATGCCACCCATTATTTGTTGAGCAAAAATTCTGACAGTATGTATTTATATTTTGAAAACTGTGTCTTATCCACAAAAAATATAAAAATAAATTTAATATCACCTCAACTTATAGTACACGTCAGTCTTACTTCATTTCCCTTCCAACACCTATTCTAGCCCTTACACAAAATTCTATTTTTTTCAATAGCAAGAAGTTATTTAATCACCTTCCCATTAATTTAAGACGAATATATAATGAAAAAAAAATTCAGAAAGTAAAAGAATTCCTTGTTGGGAGGCCCTATTATAGTGTGGACGAATTCTACCAAGGCTTAATTCATATTCATCAGAAAACGTGACACAAATTAAGTTTTGATGAGCTCTTCAAAAATATGGCATCCATGAAGTCCACATTTATATGTCAACAAAATTGATTTGATTCTTAAATGTATTCAGCTGAGAATATTTCAGGAAATAATCTTCACGAATACAACTTGATCTAAAATTTTTTCTCAGATAAATGTCAATTTAGTCATGCTAACATCATATTTTTGAGCAATAACAATTGCGTAACCAGGAATTAATGAAACCATTCATTCTACGGACTCGTGGCTTTATCATGTGGTTGCTTTCATTGATTTGCTAAACAACAAAGCTTTCTTGCAAAAAAATGGTAATTTATCGATTAAATTTCAAAGTCTCTTGGTATAACTTTCTAAAAATTTTGTCTTCTTGAAAACTCTCCATGCCAATATTAAGACAGGAACAAATTTTTGCAAAAATCAAGAATCGTGCAACAAAATTAAAACTTTCCACTTCAATGACACATCTACAAAGTCATATTGTATGGTGGCGTGTTACTTCAAGTTTCATTTTAACTCTACATTCATTTTTCAAAGTAAACATTAGCTGGTTTATCACTACGATTTCAATTTCGAAATGGCCATTGCTGTTTGATTCTTCATCCAGTTGCTACTCTTCATTTCAAATCCAGGTTTATCCATTTTTGTTTACATTCTTAGTAATGTTTCCAACTTGTTTAAGGATGTTTTAATGAAATGTCAATTGAACGTCTGCCTCGATTATGAACTATTATATTTGCACATGACATTATAATTTTTTGTTTTTGAATACACTTTTTTGTTTCATGTAAAAGCCCTCCATTTTTTTAATTCAGTAACTGCATTGCTTGCAAATACTTTTAACCGTAAAATTTGAACAAAGATGCAGATCACTAAATGATCTCAATTTGAGGGATCCATTGCCACCAGGTGGCACTAGCACCATCACAAAACTAAAGGAAAATCTATACATATCATAAAAGTCCTGTTTTTGTACATGGAAGATATTTGAGAAAAACCATTATTGAGGTTCTTTATTAAAGCAGTAAAACCCAAAACAATGATTAATATACTTTATGTCTGTTCATTTGTGAATGCTATTCTAAAAAACGGCGTCTTAACTAATTTTGGTCAGGTTTTCACTAATGTATTGTTATAAGCTTCTCCAAACATTCAGTGTTTGAATGATTTCAGTCGGTTCATAAATGAAAAAATTATGTAGATTTCAAAAATCATGTCAAACATTTATTTGAAAAAAAAATACTTCGTAAATACCCTTGATTTTGCTGAACCTTTGGTTAACTATATTTAAAGCTTGTAAAACTGAAATCCCTTTACCTATGGTTTCAGGATTTTATCAAATTATTATACTCAAGTAATTTGTTTAGTGAAATGTCAAATATTATGGATAATCCTTGAATATTTTCAAATAAGATTCATTGTTGCAATGAATGTATTGAACAATTTTTCAAAACTTACTTTCATTTCTCTTCATGTTATATCATCATTTTGAATTTAAATTAATTTGTCACTTGGGGCTTTGTTCACAAGATAAAGCTGTTACCATGATACTATAACCATAAAGATAANAAGGTAACACCTCGAAACCGGTCCGTAGGTGATCAACTCAAATTATCTCAGCAAGGTCCTAGCTGGATGAACGAGGCAAGATACTTCAACGAGACTAACCTTGTTGAAGTATGTCTGCCGGATATGATTCAATATCAAGCGTGGTATTAGCCGGGAAAGTAATTATTTCCCGAGAGGTATTCACCAGAACCTACCGTGTAGGTTGTTGGGGGAGACGCATATTTCAAGATTTCATTTCCAAATATTTATTTTTTAGTTGAATTAATTTATTTTTGAAATTCATATTTGCAATTGTGTTAATATTGTTATATTTTGTTACTGCTACTGTTCCTGATATATTTGTTCCATTTTAGTTAACTCAAGGAATGCAAACTTTCACTAGTATGTCAATGCTGTTTTTCAGGTTTGTTTATGGAAGTCTGCAGATTTACATACCTGAAATTTCGTCTACAACTGCGGTGAACATTAAAAATCAATGTTTCAGTTTTTTTACTACCCACATTATCACAAAGGAGTTAACTCAACTTTTTCAAACAGACAAACAATGGCTTGGTCATAACTACAGCTACCGACTGAGTCCGGGCCGGTGGGAGAAATCGTATCTGTGTAAGGTTTGGTTCGGTGTATGACAAAGAAAGAATTAGGAAAAAAGGAATAGAAACTTTTGTTTGCAATTTTACTTTTACGGCTCGAATAATCTAAGAGAGTGAACAGATTTCTACACATCTACTGCACATCTTGAAGGAGGGGCTTCTCACCAGTCATGACTTAGTCCGGCAGCTGTAGTAATAATTCATTTAATACAATCTTTTTCTTCTTTTAATAACCGGAAAAGTTATATCACATATGAAATCCTATAGTTGAATACTAGTTCAAATATCAATTATGTCAAAAAGGAGAACGAATGAATCTGAATCTGACCCCTATCATTTTCTTTTCATTGGGAACCTTAGTAGCGAAACATTTTTCAAAACATCAAGACATCAATACTAACCTGTAAGGGTGTTGGAGGCTTCAGCTTTCTGTCAACAGATGGAGCGTTTCTCGGAGAAGGTGGTTCGGGATTGGAGGTAATCGAGTGTGAATCGGAGAGCTTCCTCTTCGGTTTCAACTCCCTGTTAACCATCGGCGGGGCCATCAGCTGGGTGTACGATGGGCTAGGAAGATTCGAATAGGCAGGAGTTGATGATGAATGAGATAAAGCAGGCGAAGGAGGTGCGTCCTGGGTGTCTTCTAAATCATACCTGAACACCTGGAATGACAATAATGAAGAATGTTTTTTAAGTTTTAGACACTGACAATTTCACATTTTGTAGTCACATTTTATATTTACTTGTAAGAAGAATGTATATTCAAGGTTTCCGAGAGAAATACATGAGCTTGTTCACTCGAAAACCTAACCGCAATAATCCTTTTATTAATCAAGCACAAAAATAATATTTTATCAGACAGAACCTACAATCTATATGTGAAACTTACCGACGTGCTGGTCCCCGCTCGTGGAGAAATATCATATCTGAAAATAGTTCCTTCAGGGCAAACCACCGGCGCAGCATTGTTATAGCAGTGTTTCCTTTTCAAGGAAGCTTCGTTTTCAATATGGTGTGAACGGGGAAAGTCATACATGTCATCTGTTAACACTTTCTGCTGATTTTCTTTATTTGACTTTTGATCGTTTTCTTCAGCCTCAATGCTAAAAATTAGACATTATCATTATATTTTCAACAAGTAAGTGAATATGAGACAGAGGAATACTGCCAGTATATTTGCAAAGAAGTAAATAATCTAAATGTACCATCACACTAAACAAATACTCAATGATACACAGTATAGAGAATAGATGAGATGAAGCAGCAAATACTTGTTTGCCAGCTTTTCGCTCCTGTAAAACCTATACACCCGGTGTTGTTTCTCATTTATGTCAATGACTTANTGCGGATGTTCTGTGAGTCATTGTTAATAAATTGTTAACTCAATATTCATGTACTTATATTTGTATCTGTTCAGCTGGGCTTAATATTGTTCTGTCCATATACTCTGCTCTCGTCTCTAAGCATTTTTTTATAGTTTATATTTGTTAATTGTCCCATATGCACGTTTTACTTTACCAGACTTTGCCAATAAGGTGTTCAGATCTTGGGTAATAAAGCATATTTTGATTTGATTTGAAAATGAAGTCAAAATTGTTCCTTTTCAGTATTTCCCTGTCAAATTCGCCATTCCAGAATTGGCAATAAATTAACAGTTCAAAACCACATGGTCTGCAGGATGACACAATTTCTATTGTGTTCAGAGAGGCGAGTACCTATACTTCTTTGCGTGGTTTCAAAGTAGACTGACCCGCGGCTACAAGGAATCCGGCGTACCCCGGGTTTTGCTGTAGGTTTTCTGGAGTCTTTAGGTAACCTTAGACTTTCTCTGGTGGTTTTTGTTGGCCAAATATTGGTTTCAAGTCGTGTTTCTCCAAATTTTTCCCAATCCGGTCTGTTGAATGTTAAAAATGTTACAAACTGGTTTGGGAGAATCTGAAAGAAACACGACGTCAAACCAATATCAAGGCCAACTTACTCATTTCTTACCTTATCTGTTGAATAATATGCCCTCAGAGTATCGTAATTAATCTGCTCTACTCTGAAGACAAATCTCAAAAAGGCTATCCTGAATGGCCAGCTAAATTTTAGAAAATTTAAATCCTATCAGCTTGTTGCTATCATATGTTTTTACCTGTTTTTTTTTGGGCTTCGTGATACCATTGTCAAAAATGATTATTTACAAAAAATCTCTTATAGGGCGACAGTTGCCTCCTTTAAAAAAATCAATTTGATACATACAGATACATACCCAATTTTTGAAGGATTGAGGTTCAGATAGCATGGAGCAGCTACCGTTTGTACTGGTTTGGGTGGTCTTGGAGGAGCTGATTCATTTCCCGAGGTTTTGACGAACTTCTTTGTTGCAATTATATCACCATCATTTGAACTATCAGAGGGTCTGGTATTTCTTGAAGTGTCTACAATTACAGATGCATTCAATGAATACAAGAGTCCAATGAGAGATCCCTGAGGAACCCCATCTCACAGACCTGGTTTACTTGATAACGTGACGTTTGCTTTCAACGTGTAAACCTCAATATGTGAAATAAGGATCCTAACGTAGCTTTCATGGCAATGATACAGGGTGTTTCCAAGTTTTACACACTACATCAAAAAGGTCTATACCAATTGATTCAAAAGATCCAATTAAATTCAATAGTGAAAATAATAAATACTCCCCTAGTCTTATTCTAGATGAAAATATATCACGGAGGCAACATATTGAAACAATAAGAAGAAAAGTAGCCAAGATAATTAAAACTTTATTCAAAATAAGAAATGTTGTACCACTGAAATACCTACCTTGAATTGATTTATTTTTCATCAATATATTCCAAAATGTAATATCTAATATCAGTATGTGGAATGGCAACAAATTCTTTATTGAAAACAGTTAAAAAACTTCAGAACGAAATTGTGTATATTCAAGAAAAACTACAAGAAGCCTACAGTCAACTTGTATGAACCAAAAAAACTATTAGATTTGTTAATGCTTTGATCTGAATCCTGATTGATATTCCATTAATAAATTGTTATTTTCAATATATGTACTGAATTGGTTATATACAGCTAGTTCTAATACTTTTTCAAGTGGTGGTAAAGTGTTTATTGGGCGGAAATTGCAGACTTCATTAGTATTTGTAACCTTGGGTACTGGAACTATAGTACTTAATTTGAGCTTTTCAGGAAATTGACCAAATATCAATTGTTTGTATAGATATTCTTTGACGAGTGCATTTATATGTATTTTGAAAGTCATAGTCATATTCAGTCATGATTTCAGTTATGATTTATCTTTTTTTTTGGTGCCCTGTTCATACTTAGTCATGTTAAAGATAGTTTTTTAAGTAATGTTTTTTCTCCTGCTATAAACATCGTATGTTTCTTGAGAAAATAAATCGTTACTATAGAACGTTGATGAGGTACTTTTCATTTCTCTCAATCGTACAGAAACTGAAACTTACTGTACTTACTGAAATCGCTGGATGAATTTGCAGTCCAATCATCATCATTGAACACACTGTCAGAATCTGTAGGGCTCTGTAAAGGAGAATGGTTCTTTTCACCTTCTGCATCACGCTTCTGAAATGGCGTTGCCAATTTCCTAGGACAATCGTAGAACCTCGGATCCTGAATGTTCATGTAATTCATGTAGTTTCTTTGTGGAAATTCGTAACTTTCATTGGTATGTGTGTTTGGTATTTCTGATCTTAACACCGAGTTCCTCATGTTATACTCCAGAAGTGTTTTGAAGTCCTGGAAGAGGGAGGTATCGGTTAGAAGAAAAACACGTTTTTAGAATTTTATTTTGTAAACATTTTCAGGAAGGGACTCACCTTGGGGTCCAGGATCGGAGATTTTCCAGTGATACATTCAGATACAGGTATGTAAGGACTAGAGCTGACTGGTGATGCAGGAAGAGGTACACTTATGCCATTTAATAATGTCATTCTCTGACTTTCGGATGGTTCTTCGGTAATCTCCACATCTGGGCAATTGATGGGGATTCTTGTAGGAACTAGGTATTGAAAAACACAATAATCATCGAATTGAATATGTTACACAAAGGCTTAACAAACATGCTTTGAAATTCTAGTGTAATATTCTCAATAATCTTTCTACTTGTTTTATCTTTGTAAAAAATTTGATACGCTGACAAAGATGAACAACAATTTTACAACCATAAAGAGGTGGACCGAGGAAAACTCTTACTACTAAACCCCAAGAAAATACAAAATATTCTCATTGGATCATCCTTCAACTCAAGCCATTTTGAAGAGTTTTCTGTATGTATTGACAATAAATTAATTCTTTCTGTCTCTGAAACTGAATGTCTTGGTGTAATTTTTGACCAGCGGCAAAAATTCTCCTAGCAATTAAGTGTCATTACAAAGAGAACCTACCTAAGCCTTCAAAAACTATTCCCCGTCAAACGGGATCTGGACACTACTACTAAAAAATACTTTTCCTTAAAAAAAACAAAAAAAAATCTTGTCTCCTCACATACTAATAGTGTTGACATAGTTTATCACATGAAAGGCGTGCAAGATTGGAAAAAATGCAAAATCAAGGCATTTGTTTTATAATAGCAGTTGCCCCTTAAGCACATATCACCCCCCATATTAGGAAATTGCAACTTTTGAAATTGGATGAAACACGTTTCGTTCACAATGCCTGTCTTGTTAACAGGATCTTGGCTACTGAACTACCCAAGTACCTTGCCTCAAAAATAGTTCGAAAGGAGGACATTCACAACAGTTCACTGAAGAACATAAACAAATTTTGGGCTATTACTACTCATCACTGCAGGACATATATAAACAAGACAGCAGGCCCGTCGGGTACTCCACTGATTAGTTTAACTGAAGTTCTTCTGCTGGACAAACGGGAAGCATTACGTCATCTTTAACAATACATATATGCATAAAAATGTCAGCCCTATAAGTGTGATTTTGATGAAATGATAAATATTAGAAATTTCGTCATTTTACATTTTCAAATACTTATATCTGGGCAAGTTTAGGTAGGATTCAAAACTCCGTAAAATGACCATCTTCAGAAGCTTTAAAATTTTAAGACTGACTACAAAGAAGCTGAGACAGCATCTAAAAACGTTTTTTTCTTATATCCAAGCTTGTTTTCGATGTTTTAAAGTGTTCGGTGTTTTAAATGGAAAGTATTTTTACATATATCATTTATATTGAGTTTATCCACGAAACCCCACAGCTTAAAACCTGCTATCAATTTATTTCCCTTTTTGGATAACACTTATAAAAGCAACTTACTATCATCATCTTCGTTTGTTGACTTCAAACCACACACTTTGCAGATACACGTTACCCAGGACCGCATTTCATTTTCTGTATCTGCAGCTAAGTAATATGTCCTAGAAGGTGTTTTTATATCGAAAACATGGTCAAATTTCAATTTCCTTTCATCCACTTTCAAGCCCAAATCCACTTGTTCACATTGATCTAAATTAATAACTCCCTTCAATTTTCTGTAGTTTCTGTCAGTGTAATATGTTAAAATATATTGACCAGGGAGTTGACCAGAATGTGTCAACAAAAACCATCTCCTTCTCCATCTCTGAAACAGTATCATCACTGTATATATTTCAGATTGTGAATCATTGATTTGGTGTAATTAGTCAGATCAGTGACATAAAAAATTTTGATTGGTTAGATAAATTACTTACTGCTCTCCATATCCTCTTTGTTGGAGGAGACTTTGTTAACCAACCCTCAAACACAATTTCTTGGGAATTCTTTGACATATTTTCCAAGGGTTATTCAAATATTTCCTTTTATCATTGAAGTATCAACATACGTTGATGACTAATAAAACCATTTATCACTTGTCAAGTGTAGATACTTTCCGTCTGTTCAAGTGCCAATATCTTCCTACATCAAAAAGTGAGTTGGAGTTTGAAAGTGGTTATCCTAGAAATTTCTGAGTGAGAGATGCAGTTTTCGAAGGATTATACAAAAAAAAAAGCAGAAAGTAAACATCAAACTACCACTTTCACAAAACAAAACAAACAAACCTTAAAATTTGTGACTTGTGTTAAAACTGGCAAACTCTTCGCCCTGAACTGACAGATTGCAGAAGAAATGACAGTCTTTGACAGTGACGGACAATCCATTTGTCGATTGCACAAAACTTGTAAATGTATCTTATGATTATGGTTCATGAGTATTAGTAGATCTATTACAATTTGGTTGAGCATTCAACTACAGAATAACTCACAGTAGAGATACTTATCAGTGGCTGATATTCTTGAAATTATCTATAATGAAATTTGAATGAGGTTATTATTGAATTTGTCGTTCACGACCGTTTCATACGGATCCGTATCGGATGGTAAATATCGTCCTTATCAAGATGAATAGAATATTTCTAATGTGATCAAGTGTTTTTTCAAAAACTCTTGACCTACGACACTCTTGACAAAAAAATAATAAAGAGGTCCAATAGTTATCAACATTTCATTCACAGAGGTGTTAAAAGTACAACTCGAGTGACATAGCTTGGCAATGTCTCTCTCTCTCTCTCTCTTTGAGTTTTCTTGACTTTTGCTTCTGTACCCGTACGGCACATTTAGCAAAGCTTGACAATGTTAAGTTGGCTCATCTTCATTTTTCGATATTGTTTACATTTGGGAATGAACTGTTCAGGTGAAATACTTTTTTTTACAATATGGTCCATAAATTAAAGATTTGAACAAAACACGCTTGACAGATTCCTATTCTTGAACCACCTATCAATATGTATACAAAGTTGGGTAAATTTAATTTCTTGTTGGTTCCATTCGGCACCGTACATAAGTAAATTCACTCCAGTCGGTATCTTTGGTGTTTCAGGTCGAGATTTTATTTTTATGTTGGCATGTGGCGGGGCAGGAGGGTGTTGCCTAAGAGCTGTTGTGCATCTCTGCACGAGGTTCGATCAAAAAATATATGACCATGATCTGACTTCATCATTGCTACGAGGAGCTCCCAATAAATGTCTCATATGATTGTGAACTGTTTAGGAATTCATAAAAAATAAAACAAGGTGGTGAAATAAACGTAT